CATCCCTCTCCCTCTCTCTCCCCCCCTCTCTCTGTGCAATCCATGAACTCAAACGAGAAAAAATGGCGACAAACAAGACGGGTATCATTTCCGAGTGTTGTATGTGCGGAGATTCTGGTCTCTCTTACGAGCTTCTCCAGTGCAAACTCTGCCAATTTAGATCTCAACACAGGTACACCCATCAATCATTTTCCATCTTTTTGATTTCTCCTTTGTGGGTTTTCTTTCTCGTTATCCTCGATCTTTGATTATATGGGTCTTGATTATAATTAATCTCCATTAAAGGACTGTTACGATCTCTCTTTGAAGTTCGGCTAAGCAAGATTGATTATCTATTTGCAGGTACTGCAGCAATCTGTACCCAAAAGCAGAATCTTATGATGTCTGCAACTGGTGTTTAATCATCCAGAAAGAAGACTCAAAAGAGAAATCCCAGACTTCTTCGACTTCTCCAACTTCAATCTCTAACACCACCAAGAACAGCCCCAGAGAATCAGATCAACACCATGACCATCATGGTCACGATCATCATGTGACCATCAAGAACAGGATAATCAAGAAGATCAAAATCACAAACGGCAGTAACCCTAATGGCGATCAGAATATTCAGCCAGTGCGGCTGAAGAGCCAACGAAGCGCACCTGATCAGTTGCAGCAGCTGAATGGGGATGTCGTCATTAAGAAAAAGAAGCCGTCGCCGGAGAGGTCGCTGGCGACGTCGGGGACGACACGGAGGAGGATCATAACGAGAGGTCGTTTAGAGGAGAAGATGAACATTAGGAGGACGAAGTCGGAGGAGATTTCGAATGGTGGCATCATCAAGCATGTCTATAGGAATAAGGTGAGAAGGTATAAGCTTCTCGATGAGGTCTCAAGCTAGAATATATATATATATATATACATATGTATATAATTAATATGAATAGATATTTGTACATACATATCAACAAAATGTTAATCATGTTTAAGATGAATTACATATACGCTACTAGCTATACTAGTACTCCTACTTGAGTTTTTGCCATATATAAGATATTGTTTATATATATAAGTGTATACATTGGTATATATATTATCAGAATCTTGGTTCTTATCAAATAAATATTCTGTAACTAGATGGAGATTGGTTCAGTGAATAGAACCCAGATGAGATTTGGAAGAAGAAGGTGATTATATATTCCCAATATATAATGGTCTTGTCATGCTCATGTTTAAAAACATCATTGCATGCAGCACATTGTGACTGCTGATCAGTACAGATCCACATACACATATACAAAAACATATATATATGTATATATATGACAAGAAATACGCGTCTATATGTATGTGTAGATATATATATGTATATATATGTTTGCACAACACGTTGTACGCGTTAAGAAATCAAAGTCATTTACAAGATTAAAAAAAAAAGTATATAATAGACTTGCCAGGTAAGTAACTTCTTAGGATGCTTATAACGTAGATGAATATATATATATATATATATACTGTTAGATAGTATATATATATATATAATATATTGTTCAATATTAATCTTAAATACGCGGTTGCTACAACTACCTTGAGTGCTAATTGTAGGTCAATCCCTAATCTTCTTCCCAACTACAATATATAATAATAATAATTGATTACTTTCAGAGTGGCATTATCGTAAGATCTTAAGAGAATATATATATATATATATGTATCTAGGCAACTACATATTATAATAAAATATGGGAATTATATTAATGAACCCAAAAAAGAAATATTCATATTCTTCTATATATTAAATATAATTAGGTATAAAATCACGAAAAATTAAGGGGAATATCAGAATCTGTTTGATTACCAATAAAATTTAAAAGAAAATTAATTATTGATAGATAATTAATTAATATTTGAGGTGCTTTTTCTCCGCCATGAATTATTCTTTTCACTTTCAATTCAGAAGAATACCAAAATCCATTCTTCACGCAATTTCATAAGGTCTTTTATTTAATTAATTCTTTTTTGTTTTTATTTTCTGTCTTTGTCCGTTTGTTTTTTTTACTTCGTCTCCATATTCAGTTCTTTCCACACACATATTATATTGTCTGTATTGTATTATATCATATGTGATGTGAGTAATTATAGACTTATATAGATTGTGCATCGTTAATTTAATAGAATAAAAAATTTAATTTATTAAGATATTAATAAAATTTGATGACTAGTTAAATTAAAATTTAAAAAATTTATTATATTTTTAGATAAAAATATAGTATGAATGTTAAATTTTTTTAATTGAAAAAATCACAAGTGATTCAAAACATAATATATATTTTTTTTAAAAAATAAGTTTACAACATATAATAATGTACAACATAATTACTATGTATAGTGCATTTTAAATGACATTCACAAATTCAGTGGGTCTAATTATGATTAATTTCATATTCTATACGTTTTACTATATTTAAATATACTAAATTACTTTAACTTCATAACATAATTTTGCATTTTCAAGTGAGTTTTTCGTCTGATCAAGTCACCCAAGAGCCAAAATATTCCGGATACACACGCATAAGTTGAATGGGGGAATAGTAATAGTATATTATATATGCATATATATTCTATTTACCTTTTAAATTTATTTATTATATTTAACTTAACTAAAATTAAAAGAAAATTATTTTCAGAGAATGAAAATTGAAATAATATACAAATCGAATTCCATCAAAATTATTTTCCCCCCCTTAAAATGTCATAACTTTTAGGAGCTTTTAGTAATCTTTAAATGCTTATAAACAAACTTATTTATACACTGATTGTTTGAGGCTTAACAAAGCCCATCTTTTCTATAGAACTTGAATTTCCAAACCCTTTTCTCTTTGCTTATTTGGGCTTTTGCCCAATCATTGATTATTCGGACTATATATATAGTTTCTTCTC